TGTAATAATCGAGCGTTAATCTTCTATTGATAGGTTAAGAGATAATTCAAAAGATAAATTTTCAATGACTAAACAACTTTTTTTGAGAAAGAACTTCAATGTGAAAATATATTTTCAAATGTAGCAGTTACATTTTCTATGAATTAACTACTGGGAGAAAATATTGAAAACTAATCAAGAAAAGAATTAAAGAGAGTTATATGTTCTTTAGAATCAATCAAATGAAATTTAATGTTAAATCTTAAAATTACAGAGACTCGCGATCAATAATCTTCTGCTGATGTTATGAAAAAGTGTTATCGAAATAAAAGTTTTTATCAAGATTAGATTCGAGGAAAACTATTAGAGAAACAAAATTTTTTTTTTACTTTTATTCTACATACAAATAATGATGAAAAGCTGGCAAAAGAAAGTTATAGAAAAACCACAAAAAAAGTGTGATCTTCTTGTTCAAAGTGAAATCAATCAAAACGATAGAATAAGAAATACACATAGACAATATATGAATAAACAAGAAAATATAGAAAAAGACATTATTTCATGAACGAATACAGTACATTCGAGCAACTAGCATACAAGATAACATACACATCATCACAAAATGACTTTTTTCTAGGTAAAAACCAACATGAGACTTTTTTTTGTATGAGTATAAGAACCACGAGAAGAAAATAAAGTCATTCACTAAATTCACAAACATTTTGTTTAGAATACAAGTACAGATTTTCATATGCTCTACTCTGAGACATATCTCCACATATGAAAACGAGTCTTTTTATTAATGATTTTTATCTTATACCTAGCTGATTATCTGCATATATGATTTTAACACCCAGTGACCAATCGTTGTAATAGATATTCGAGAAGATTGTATAAGCAAACAATTCATACTATTTAAAAACATCTATCATTTCGACGTTTCTAAACTTCTTTCGTATAGAACTATTCTGCATGTTTCTTACATAAGCATAAAGGACGATACTTTGTAATATTTATTCTTTCCACTATAGCATTGAAAAGTATATCTCGATTTTTATTTGTTTTTAACTGTATGAAATGAAAAATAAAGCGTTCACCAGAAACTATCATAAAAAAATACATTAAAAGAAAAACTTGTATAGTCAATAAGAATATGTTTTTTTGATGTAAGAGAATAATCAATCAGATATTCAGTTGTTGACTTCGAACAATTTACTGAGTATTAGATTTTTCTCACACCTAAAAAAGAAACAACAACTTAATTCATTTCTAAATGAGACAATAAAAAGAGAGAATACTCTGCAATAAATTCTTCTTTCGTCAATTTTTTCTCCACTTTCATGCCGATAAAACGAGCAATATCTGCAGCAAGGCCGATCGCTTTAAAAGTCGACGTATGTAAAGTGCTCTTCGCGCTAGCACTCTAAAAAAAGAAAACATAAGCGAATTTGTGTTTATAGGTAATGATTGCAAAAATTTTATGAGACAACTTACAGCAATGGAACTAAAATATAATAATTCATTCAAGTCCATCCGCCCATCTTGATTATTATCGACCCTGAACCAAGATGAAAATTAAGCAAACATAAAACAGAAGTCTAAGAACTTATTACTTACATATCGAATACATAGCTTAATGCTTCATGTCTTGTCTTCGAGTTTGCAAAAGCTTTAGCCATTAAAAATTCCACAAAATCAATTTTTCCATCACGATCAGTATCAAAGAGAAGAAATCCAAGTCTTAAAAAGAATGAATCCGTCAGGTGAATGAGACAATATAAATAATATACGATACAAATGGTCAAATATAAACTTTTCATTTATTCTAAGGATTTCCTTGGATTTACACTTTTCTATTAATTATTGACTGCTAGATGTTTTGCTCCACAGAGAAAATAAATATTAAAATTCACTACTACAATCTCGTAGAATTCAATATACGAAATTAAGAAAAACAAAACATAAGAAATTGACATGTCTAATTTGTATTTAAGTCTGTAAACAGATATCAAGAAAAGAAAAATCATCTCAATGCACAAATGCAAGCAATAGATAATTAGACATTGCATAAAAAATATGTTAGAAAATTTTATTTTAATTTTCATATGTAACACGCTCATTAAAAATGATTTCGTGATTTTTTTATATCTTTAATCAAGACAATACATAATAAAGAAATGCACATACTCATGATGAAGTTTTCTTATAATACTATTCGGGTCTAAACGTTGAACGAAATCTTCGTATTGATTTGAGGTTATCCTGCCATCTGGATAATTAGACCAGAATTCCTTAGGAGAGAAAAATAACAATAGATACCAATTATATTTCATCATATTTTATATTTACTGAATGTATTTCTCGAATTTCTGAAATAACCCAAAAAAAAGGAAATCAGTCGATGCATCAGATAAATAGATTTCAATTACTTTTTTCGTCGAGTAGAGAACGAATTTTCAATATTTCTATATCTGAAAATAACAATGGTTTATTTCATTGAAAATACGAATAACAAGAAAACGAACAAACCTCGTCCTGTTAATTCCTTGTTGGCGCCAATTTTCAACGAAGGTTGTGCACTCATAGGTGATGATTCAAATTACTGTCTTGAGATTTCTAAAAATGAATCGAAGCAAATCAAGAAGATGAAAGCTCTGAAATAATGATTAAGAATAGAATATTTAAGAAATAAAAACAACCAAGCAAGAGACATAATCATTCGTTATTTGACGTTTACTTTTATGAGTGTAAAGTAAAGCGAAAGCAAGATTCAATGTTTTTTAACGCTACATTGAAATTTATGTTTCTTATAAACATGCTTCAATGGCCATGTGACGTATCTTTTTATGTTCTATTTCGCCGATTTAACCTTGTTGCTTTTTGACTATCCTATGAAAATGAAAGAGAAAAAAATTTTTTACTTTCGATTCTATAATGTTATGTGTAAAGTAGCAATTTGTATGACATAGCTCACATCAGATATTCTTTAATCAAGATTAGTTATTGAAATTTGAAAAGGTAATTGGTGAATGGTTTCTCTTCTATTTACGACATCAATCACATTCGTTGATGTTGGCTTTTTTTTCTTTAGATACCTTGATTTAATACTCAATATGATTCATTAACGATTCTATTCATTTCTATATTTATTACAGTATGATTTTATCCTCTATTTAATTTCGGTATTTGTATAACGTGTGGATAGTGTTGCTACTGAGATCCAAGAGAACATTCATACCTACACACTCAAATGTGTCTTCTTTTGTTCGTATTATAATAATCGAGGATCTACTATTTGGTTCATAAACAGGAGTTTTCTGTATGGTTTCTAACAAACAGATCTCGGACAATTGTAGTATTTACAATTTGCTAGTACTTTGATAATTAAAATAATTAAATTAGATCAGGCATATTATTAATTATGTTTCTATGTTAGGAAACATGATAAATATCACCATTCAATCAGTTTAAAAGCAAAAGTTCATGATTCCTCGTGGCAGACGAACCATTCGCTCGGTTTATTTTCAGAAATCGTTTTTTTTAATGTAGGATTCACTTGCTGACGTTTTTCTGATCCACCTATATCTATTACAGAATTTAGATTCACTTTCAGTACCATATTTGTTTTTTTTTACACATCACTCTTTTGAATACGTGCATCTAGACATCATGGAAGTGGTAGTATAGAAGGTTGTATACCTCGTTCCATCAATAATTAAAAATTATTCATTAGTAAACAGTACAGTTGGATGTGGCTGGGGTGTGGGTGTGGGTAGGTGTGGGTGTGTGTTGGTGTGAGTGGGGTAGGGTATGACTGCCGGTGTGAGAAAAAGAAAGAATCAGACTCGCAGTCACCCACATCCACATACCCACACTCCCACCCACACTCCCACCCACCCACACCCACACTCACACCCACACTTACACCCACACCCACCCACACCCACACCCACCCATATAAGATCTAACCAAAATAAAAGATCGAAAGTTTTTCATTTTTTACAGAATAGTCTTGCAATATATCCCTAGATATTGAGAAAGACTACTTTTGTGTATTGAAATGAACGGTAATAATTTTGAACAGAATTTGTAAATCTTTCGTTGATGAATGAAATATTGAAACTCTTTCCGAGCACTAAAGAGTACATTTTATTTTATTGATTCAAAAAAATATTTCTATTTATTATTATGAAATTAACGTAGGATGCAAAGGTAATGGCACAAAATGGGTGCTGTATGGAAAATTTTTTTACAAAAAGATAGCGCTTTTTCTTCTCTTTCGAATAATTTGAGATTTCTGTTTGTCACACATTCGTAAATTGAATGAGTGAAGTAGAAAAGAAAAATACTCACACAAAAAATTTGCAGTTTCTGTATGAATAAGAGAAAAAGGTCTTTTGGATTGCATAATTAACTATCATTTTACAACATTTTTAACGAGTTTTTAAAAGGGCTAAATGAGTACGAAAAGATCAAATTAATTCTTTTTGTCTTGCAGTATGTTTTTGATGAATTCATATAAAGCCTACCAATTTATCGTGCCAATACTTGTCTTTCGTCTTTGTCTCATTTGATTTATGAATGTGAGACGCACATGAATAATACACCGTTGAAAAAAAGGAGGAAAATATGTTTATTGACGATCTATATTAGAAATTTAGTAATCAACATCTTTCGCTGTTTCTCTAAATTCCACGAAAATTACCGATATGTTTTTACAGTGTGTCTTTCCTTTTTTTATTGTGTCATTCCGTCTACAAATGTGTTTAAAAATATAAATTACACATCAAAAAAGCTCTATCTTTTTGTGAAAAAGATTTTCTTACAGCACCTGTCTCTTAAAAAGAAATAGGAGCTCACATTTTATATCATTAATTTTGCATTTTTCTTTCTTGAAACATAGATTTCAATGATAATTTGAATGATGATCAATATTGAGAAGTTAACCGCACTACACCAAAAAAAATAATATATGAGTAATAGAGTTTGTTATGTTTTCTACTCTTACGATTGTTTTGCAGTTAAAAAAGCGCTTTGTTCATATTATGGGTACTTTTTGAAGTAATCATTTTGGCATTGCGCAATGAAATAAATTCTTTTGCTTCAGTTTTTCTCAATTTAATCTTATGATCCAATACTAATCGACTTAATTTCGCAGCTAAATCAGTCCCGAGTTTAACAACTTTAGATAGATTTTCTAGTGCAGAAATCAATTCTTTAGAATCGATTGGTTTGAGAGCATCCAATGTTGCTTGATCAACAATGTTAGGCATCAATCCATTGCTTTCAATAATATTTTCAACAAATGTTTGACACATATTATTTTCACCAGCATCATATACGAAAAAATTTTTGTCAGCATTCAAAGCTGTTGTAATTAATTGATTGAATGTTAATGGCTTATCTGGTGATAATGGAATATCGTATACATCGGTTGTTTCATCTGGTATAATAGGATATCTAAGACCAATACGGTATGATTTTTCAAGTACAAGTACTGTTCTACCATTTTTATTTTATGGAGCATTGTCAAGTATATGTTGTAATACATTGAATCCATGATTATTTTAAATAGTAATAAGTAAATAATTGTGATAGATTTCATCATAACCAAGTTCATCTTGTTTATCAAGAAATTTTGAATCACTTAAATAGTCTAGTATGTTAAGAGCAAATTCTTTAACAGGTCTACGACCAAGTTGAATTTTAAGAATAGGTTCATCACCAACCTCTTTTAACAGATCTCGTATTTTAGCGGGCATTTCTGGATGTTGTTTTGCATCGATAAATAATGATTGATTATTGTTGAACTATGAAGATATTAAAATTAATTAATTCTTTAGAACAACAATAAGAATATTTATTTAAAAAAAAACAGAGATCATTTTGTTCTTTCAACATAATTTTCTGTTTTTATAAAGTCAAAAGTGATATCGATTTTAAAATAAGACTAAATTATTAATTAGACAAAATAAAACAA